AATATTGAACCATCCTTGCATCCCTGGGTTGAATCCTACCTGGTCATGGTGTATGATCTTGTTGATGATTTGCTGTATTCTATTTGCTAGGATTTTATTGAGGATTTTGGCATCTATGTTCATGAGGGAGATAGGCCTGTAGTTCTGTTTCTAAGTTGCATCTTTCCCTGGTTTTGGTATTAATATAATCCTTGCTTCCAGGAATGATTTTGGGAGGATTGCTTCCTTTTCAATTTCACGGAACAGTTTGAAGAGTATAGGCACTACATCTTCTGTAAATGTCTTGTAGAATTCAGCTGTGAATCCATCCAGACCTGGACTTTTCTTTGCTGGTAGGTTTTTAATTCCATCTCGTATTTCATTGACTGTTATTGGGCTACTGAGAGTGGTTATATCTTGTCGATTCAGTTGTGGTAATTTGCACATTTGTAGGAATCTGTCCATTTCTTCTGTGTCTTCTATTCTGTGAGAGTAAAGATTCTCAAAGTAGCTATTTATAATCTTCTGAATTTCCACTGAGTCTGTGATATTTGCACCCTTTTCATTCCTTATTGCTTGTATTTGAACTTTTTCTTTCCTCTGTTTGATGAGGTTAGCTAGGGGCTTATCAATTTTATTTAATTTTTCAAATTCCTACTCGGCGTGTGGGGTGGGGGAGGTACTCCTGAGTGGTGGCAGTGGTCTGAGGGGGTGAGAGAACATCTGGCTCATGCTGCGCCTGGGCTGGGACTGGTCCTGCTGGTGCAGGGTAACAGGAAGCTCTCTGCACACTGACTGGACCTGGGCTAGGACTGGGTCTCTATCCATGTCTTCTTTAGAAGCAGTTATAAATTCTTTGACTGCAGTGTTTTTTTCAGATTGGGTTTCCCCTGTGTGTTTCTGTAGTTGATTCTTTACTTCAGATGCTATGAGTTCTGAGAATTCTTTTTTTATTTCAGAAAAGAATTCCACTCTTTGTTCCTCTATAACTTCTGCTATTGCTTTTTTACTATCAATGCTGTTAATTTGTACATTTGAGCTGAGCTAGTAGGAAAGAATTCTGCTCTGAGTTCCTCTATTACTTTCTGCTGTTGCTTATTTAGTATCGATGTATTAATTCATACTTGGAGGTGAGCTAGTGTCCTCTGCACTTCTTCTGGGTGGGCATTGGGTTTCCTCTATATGTTTCTGTATTTGATTCTTTAATGAAGATGTTATTAATTCAGGGATTTCCATTTTCATTTCTAATCTGAGTTTCTGTATACTTTTCTGCAGCTGTTTATTTCAGAAGCCATTGATTCATTGCTTTCAGCTGTGTGATTCCCAATGTGTTGTGTGGTAGTGTCCTCTGCACTTGTTATGGGTGGACTTGGGTTCTGAGATTGCATTTTGCTCCTTCCCATTGTCATTTTGTGTAGCACTGTCTTCTGACCTTTGTTGTAGGTCTTTGTTATAGTTATAACCTTAATACCTACTGAAGTTCAGTTGTGGATCTACAAAGTTTGGATTTATCCAGCTGTGCCTGGCTTGGGTCTGGTTGCTGTGCTCATTTCCTTTCTGTTGCTGCCCTTGGGGGTGAACCTGTTGTGCCCCTCTGGCAAGGTGTTCTGCTTCTGGACTAGCTGGGTGGTTCTGTCCCCTACACTGTTTGCAGGGATTGCAGCTGCAGGGTTTCACCCCAGACCTGTATGCCAGGCTTGAGCGAAGTCTGGAGGGGACAAGGTGGAGCAAGTGGGAGAAGGCAGCTCTCCCACATACTCACCGGGCCTGGACTAGGACTGGATCTAGGGGTTCCCAGAACATGACAGATACTCCTACACTGTGGGCAGGGTGTGTGTGAGGGTACTATGGAGTGATGGGGGTGTACCAAGAGGGTGAAAGAGGGTGTCATCCACACTGCTCCTGGCCTTGGACCAGTAGGTTATGCCAGCACAGGGTAGCAGAAGCTCTCCCACACACTCACCGGGCCTGGACTAGGACTGGATCTGGGGGTTCCCAGAATGCAGCAGCAATTCCTACTGGGCAAGTGGTGTAAGAGAGGTGCTGTGGAGTGGTGGGGGGCATCCCAAGGGGGTGGAAGAGGGTCTCACCTGCGCTGTGCCTGGGTTGGGACCAGTAGATCCTGCTGGCACAGAGTAGCCGGAAGCTCTCCCACACACTCACCGGGACTGGGCTAGGACTGGGTTTGGGGATTGCTGGAAAGAGGTAGAAATTCCTACTTGGCAGGCGTGGTAAGGGAGGTGGTGCGGAGTGGTGTGCGGTGTCCCAAGGGGGTGGAATAGGGTCCCACCCATGCTGCGCCTGGGCTGGAACCAGGAGGTCCCACCAGAGCAGGGCAGCTGGAAGCTCTCCCACACTCACTGGGCCTGGGCTAGGACTGGGTCTGGCGACGTGCTTTACTTTATTTAAAAAAATGCATATCATTGGTTTGCACATTTAGCTGCTTCTCAAGTGTTCCCAACTATGTAGGAAGATGTGCATCCTTGTGACCGCTGGTCTCATTTATGGTTGTAAGTATTTTGGTGAAATTGCTCAGTCTATCTCTTCAGAGCATACTAATCTTGGAAAGACCCACAACTGCAAGAATATGTTACGCTTAGGCTGGGAGAGACTGTCACCCTCCTACGCAGCCTCAGTATTGGTAGCGGTGGGCAGTAGGGCTTTTCGGTGGGAAGTGCCTCCTGGTGCTTCTCACAGCTGGCACTATACCAGATGGTGGAAACCCAGCCTGGCCTCACCACTTGTTGCTGGCACTGTCTGGGCTCAGGAGAAGGGCTGAACACCTGCTCAGCATGGCAGATGATGGCTCTGATGTGGGGGGAGGGGACACGTTTGCTCTG